GACTATAAGGCGCACATAAACGTCTTTTTTTCCCCTCAAAATGTGCGGTGCGCCCTTTGGTGCGGTGCGCCCTATGTGTGTTGCAACTGCGACTTTTGAGACCACCTCATTGAGGAGATGATGAAAGAGTGGCTGAATGTAAGGAGAACAGGTGTTTTTTTTCCACTCATCACCATCGCTGTTAATCTGACTCCATGCGTGCCCATCTCACAGCTAATGTGAAAAACATGGTGAAACAAATTAATGCTGTGCTCGCTGTGAACCGGACGCAGCAGGTGCAGCAGAAGCAGCGAGTTTACATGCAAAGTCAACGGTTGACGAGCGTATAGACGCAGCAAAAGGTCCCGCAGCGCGTTTTGAGCAGCAGGCGCAGCGAGTCGGGAGCGCGCCGCGCTGCTGCTGCTCGAAATGTAAAAAATTTAAGTTTTGCTGCTGGAAGCGCCGCATCAACGAATCAGAGAAGCTGATCTGGGAGCTGACAGCGAGACAGACACATCGCTCTGATGACATATGATTTTAAAGCAAATGAAAGGGCTGGATGGATGAGGAGATGATGAAAGCGTGGCTGAGGGAGGTGTATGTGAGGAGACCAGGTGTTTTTTTTTTCACGCATCACCATCGCTTTTAATATGTGACTCCATGCGTGCCCATCTCACAGCTGATGTGAAAAACATGGTGAAAAAAAATAAACGCTGTGCTCGCTGTTATCTCGGGGGTCTGACAAAGGAACTTCCACCGCTCGACATCGGTGTGAACCAGCCGTTCAAAGTAAGGCTGCGAGCGGCGTGGGAGCGATGGATGACCGACGGAGACCACAGTTTCACGATAAGTGGAAGGCAACGCCGGGCAAGTTACGCCACCTTTAGCGGATGGATTGTTGATGCTTGGACTAACGCGTCTGCTGGCTCTGTTGTTCAAGCTTTCGCAAAAGCCGGCATTATTTCTGAGGAACCGCGCTGCACAGAAAGTGACTCTGCCAGCGAAGAAGGGGAAATTGGCATGTCTGATTTAGCGCAGCTGTTTAATTCAGAAACAGAGGATGAGGACTTTGATGGGTTCGATTAATACTTAGTAATAAATACATGAATAAAGCACAATCATACTCAGTTATGCTCCCGCTCTATTTTTCTACCTGAAAACTTAATTCAACAGCAGCCTCTGGGCGGGTCTCCTCCTCTTCACCGCGGTGGCTGGCAGGTGTTTTTTCATCTAAATAATCTAAATCTTGCAGCTATATTTGCTGTGATCAGTGGGAATAAAGTAGTTTTAATATGTTTTTAAGTGAGAAAGGCCACCTGAAAACTTAATAATTGCAGTCAGTTCATCCAGATTATCTATTTCTATCGGAGGCGCTCAGACTCCCACATACCAGCGGTGCACCGACAGTAGAAATCCCTTCATCAGCAGCCTCTAGGCTGGGCAGCCTCCGGGTTCACGCGGTGGCTGGCAGGTGTTTTTCATCTAAATAATTTAAACTGCAGGCCAGTAATAAAAGCGGACATATTCTGTCGGCAGGTTTCAGGATTTTAAGTTAATTTAGGAGTGATCACAGCGCTGTGTCATCTGCGATGTGTCTGTCTCACGGCCAGCTGCCAGGTTTGATTAATACTTTGTAATAAATACATGAATAAAGCACAATCATACTCAGTTTTGCCCCCGCTGTATTTTTAAATACGCAGTAGAGGTATTTAAAGGTAGTAGAGGACATGTACCTGTATATAAAAAACGCGCCCTATAGTCCGGTGCGCCTTATGTGTGTGTTAAATACAGAAATGGGACACATAACTGAGAGTGCGCCTTTTAGTACGGTGCGCCTTATGGTCGTGACAATACGGTAATTGTTCTAAATAAAATGTCTATTCTGCAACTATTCAAATGCAATGCAAGATTAGAGAAGATACAAACTAAATTTAAAGGATATTTATCAAACTATAATTTAAAAAAAAATCTGTATTTACAGGATTTATGGGGAAAAAATAAATTCAAATTAGCAGCAGACTAATGACCAATAACAGCAGAACTACTTTTATGAGTTAAATGTGAAAACCTGAATGTGAGAAATCAATGCTCTGGTTACAATAGTTAGTGGTGGGAACCAACCTTTTAAGGAGTCCTGTTCAGCCCTCATAATGTCAATCAGGGAGTTCTCCAGAGAGTGCATGTTGAAACCATCAAAAGACCGCGTTCTCTCCTGCAGGGGGAAAAATAAAAAACAGCATTTAGATGTAGCACTTCCCACTACAACAGTCTGCAAGATCTGACATGAGACAATGCAGAAAACAGAGCCAGTTCCTCTGCCTGCGACAGTACACTGTTAGGGGGGAAGGCACCATGTAAATCCAGATTAAAACACCTCCTAATCCAGACTGTGAATAAAAATTTGAAGTCTAAAAATGAACCCAATATGGAATTGATAAACACTCAAAATGGCACCATTGAGTACATGAGCAAACTGAGGGCACACAAAGCAGCAGAGGAGCACAAGACCTCTTAAATCAGGACAAGAGGAAGCACATGTGATCAGACCAGATGATAAGACGTTTTCTCATTTAACCAAATGATCTAGATAAGGCCTAAGTACATACACAACAAGCTTCTATTCATTCATTTAGATGGCTGAGCTGTCACGTATCCTGTTCAGCTAAAGAGGCTCGTTTGTTGCATTCGACACAGCCGAGCATGCTAAACGGCATTAACATTTGCCCCTGAAAGCCACGCGAGATGTATACACAGTTTACACAAAAATTTCTCACCGATTCCTTCAATCCGCTTCATATAGATTCAGATAGTTTTCTACAAACCTGGAAAGAATAGACGCTGTCGTTGCGGTTCATGCTGTCCTCCACCCAGCCCTTGTGATTGATGCCAGAGGTATTTCTGGGGAACTTCTGCGAGGGAATCTGGAGAATATATTGCCAAAAATATTCATTCACATTAAAGGTGAAAATCTGAGAATGTTTACTACTTTGATCTGAGTTTTTAGCCACCTGGTTGTTGGGGAAAGATTTCTTCAAAGGGGAGTAGGAGTTAAGGCTAGCCACCCCTCCTCCTATGCCCCGTCGGTACTCTCGAACCCCTTGTGTCCCTCCCCAGCCACTGTAGCCACCTGGACTCCAAGAGGTGGACGTAGGAGTGGACAGACTCTGGTAGCTTCCCCACGGAGAAGGGGGTTTGCTTTGAGCGGGAGCGAGATGGGGCAGCTGGGCGAACGGCGCGGCGCGATGGGGATGTGGCGGGAAGGAAGGTTGGTGTTGATGCGGACTAGCCGGGGAGCGGCGGTGCTGCTGCGGAACCCCCTGACCGTGAGGATGGGGTGTAGGGGGGTGGTGCTGGGTGACTGGTCCGATCTGTGGGGAGAAACTACCTCCTACGCCAAAGCCTGGGCCAGCATGGTGGGAGAAGTTCTGAAACAGTAGCGGTGGGCCGTTTGCGTTAGAGCCAGCAGGACTGAAGAAAGCTCCGACATCTTCCCCAACCACAGGAGACTGGTTGGATGGAACGGCGGGGGACCAGTTGTTAAAGCTGGTCAGTGAGGATGGAGATGGGGTGGACTGCGCACAGCTAGTAGCCATTCCCAGGTTGTCCTGGTAGTCAAAGCTGCTCAACCCAGGAGACTCTATCCTTAATTTCTCCTTTCCGACACTACTCTCCAGGGAACCCTTCTCTAATGACCCATCGTCAGGATGAACTCCATCAAGCTCTGTTAGGCCTCCTCCGACCTCCTGCTGGCCTGGAGACAGAGTCTGAGGCTGGCTCTGGACTTGAGACTTCTCCTGCATGTCTTGGAGGTCCAAGGCTTTGGACTTGTCCGATTCCAGAATCTCATCTTGCATGTTACCGTGCTGGGCTACAGAGGGAAAGAGCCAAGCGCTGCCCCCATTGGTGGAGCAGGCGTTGTTTACAAAGGAAGGAGGGCTGGGGGGGTTGGAGGAGTCCTGCAGGTGCTGTGGCTGAAGGTGAGGAGGAATCCTGACAGGGAAAGCAGATTTGTTACCACCACCGTTCTTCACCAGAACTCCAAAGCCGTAGTCCCCCATTTAGGTAGATTTTCAGCTTTCACTGTCTTCTTTATCCTAAAATAGGGAGAAAGAGGCCGGATTAGATGAACGTCATGTTAATTTGATCACTGTTAAGACAATTGAAACAGGCCAGATGTAGAGAAAGTGTCTTTGCTGCAGGGCTGCCTGGTCTTGTGATGCAATCAATGAGATTAAATCATTGACTGGCCTGGGCCATGGGAGGCCTGGGTGAAATATAACACTACGGCAGGCTCGGAAAACACCCAGCCTCACCAAGTCAGGCTGCTGGACGCCTGCTCTGCTCAGGCTGACGTCTCCAAAAGGTCGTCATGCAGCTAGCAACGAAGCTAACAGCTGCTCATGCGCCCTTTTCATCGCGCAGGGTCCATTTTAAAACCCACTCAGACGAACACCACCTACATCCACCTTCTAATGTAGCTTTTACCGCAGTGACCCCTCCAAAAGCAACCGTTTAAAACGAGGCGAAAATGTCGGTGACGTCCCCAGGGTTAGAAGCCGCTAAGCTAGGATAATAGCCGATAACCCAGCAGACGTTGTAACGCATTTGCAAAGCAGCCAGAAGGCAATAAAAAACCACCTGAACCGCTTTAACGTCTCTGGAAATTTCGCCACCGTCCGCGGAAGCTTTATCGGTAGAAGGTTTAGAAACGGTTCCCTGGTTCTTTAAACGACCTCGTCTGTTTCGTGTCCTGAACGTTCAATGTCACACAGACTTACCAATCCTTGTCATCATTTTTTTTCCTCACGTATCAAAGCAACGCAGCGAGGCCTCGACTGCGGCTCCACCGTATAAACAACCCGATTAAAAACCGCGTTACTTCAGAGACAACTACCTTCAGTTCGCCGTCATGACCTAATCGTTAAGATGTTGCCATATTTTAGCGTTTTCCCTTTTTCTGGGTTTCCTATGCAGCCGGTGTGAATGGTCTTCTCATTCTCTCTTCTAGATGACAGCTGGGCCAGTGGGAAGACACTTCCGCCTCTAATCCCCGCCTTCAACCCCCTGCACCAGCCAATCAGTGAAAGGATTTCCCTTATCACCCCGCCCACATTGTCTGTAATCTGCTGTCTGATTGGATGAGTGTAGTGAGCGCACGCCCACGTAACCTATCCTCAATGAATGGCAGTTGCGTACCCTTTCTTTTTTTTTTTTTTTTACAGTGTCCTGTCTGGCAAGGTGGCAATAAGAATATTTGTCTTGATGCCAAAAGGAGCCCAACAGATTTTACTTTCACAAGTGTAGCGGTATCGCAATTGCCATACCGCTCCACTTGTTTCATGTATATAAATTGCTTTATTATAATTATGCAGGGAGTTTTACAGTTCATATGGACACTGCAATGTAAGTAGAGCAGAAAAACAGAAGAAGAAGAAGGAAAAAGAAAAAAACAGGACAAAAGATGAAAGAAAGAGGAGATAGGAAGGAGACAATGACAAAACATTTTCAGTCTGCTTCAACACCTGTAATGAGATGGAGAAAAAAAAAAAAAAAAAAGAAAAAAGAACAGCACAACCAAAAAACATGGTACGAGATATACAATAAAGCAAACACCTTGAAACTATCGCTAACGTAATATTATTAAGTCTGACATGTACTCTGTGTTACCTGAAGATATGAATGTGGGGTTTCTGTTTGGAAGTGAATCTCTAAGTACCTGAAGCCTAGCACCTGTAGTTGTTTGTGAGGGTGAACTTGTGCATGTAAAGTTTTAACCATAGAAAAAAATGCTCAATAGTGGTTGTGGAGAGCCGGAGAGGCACACCCCCCAGAGCACTGAGTCCAGCGCCGGGAGACCCAAAGCCCCAGGCGCCCAAGGGGACCCCAGAAGCGAAGGCACCAAGGCGGGGCCAGCCCCGGAAATCAGACCCCACCAAGGCAGGAGGAGAGACAGCCACGAGGAAGCCCCCCAGCCACCGCCATGCCGGCGCCCCGGGGAGCCGCGGGGACGAGTCCGCGGGCCCCGCCGGCAGCCGGCCACCCCGAAGTAGGGCCGGGCGCCGAACACCAGCCCCCCCACGGCGCCGACCGAAACGCCCCAGCCCCACAGAGCACCGAAACACGCCCCGCCCCCCCGCACCAAGCCCCGGCGACCGGCCGCAACACCCACCGCGACCGCACCACCCAGGAAAACACTAAGACGGCCCCGCCCCCGGCCGGGGCCCACGCGCATCCGCCGCGAACCGGCCACGAGCGCCGCGGGACCCCCCCCCCCCCCAAAACGCCCCCCCCCGGCCAAAAGCGCAGCCCCACCCCACCAAGACCGATGCCAACAGCGCGCAACGAAACACACCGCGCACAGAATCAGCCCGAGAGCAGAAAAGCCGCCCGGCGCAAAACCGCAAGAGGAGCAGACCGCAGCCGGCGCAACCACCCCCCCCAGCAGCCCGAGGGGCAGCACAAAGCCAGAGCGGAGCGAACCGCGCCGCCCCCCCACCAGCCGCGTACCCTTTCAAATAAGTAGGATGTCATTAATACAACTTGTAAAAAAAAAAAAAAAATGGTTTATTAAGCAAAAATTAGAAAAGAGGAAATAAAAAAAGGGAAGACATTTATATAGAATACAAAAATCTGTATAGATATGGAATTTCTTTGAAATAGAAGAAGGAAATACTTATTGTATATGATTAGGAGGAAAGACATATTAAAGGTATGTGAAGTAAAATAAACTGTTGAAAAAATATTGTTGGACTATAAAATATACACTAATTAAAGGAACAAAACTGCATGTAGTAGTAAAATAGGCAGGAAATTAACAAGGATTGGAGAAAATAGGTAACAAAGACAAATCTGGATAATTGTGAAAGCATTATGGACATATCCTCATAAAATAAAAAATAAAAATTAGAATTTAATGGGTGAGAGCTATTGTTGTTTCAAACTAAAAGTGGGACGATATGCACATATGAGCTGTTTGCAACCCTTCATAATAATAAATAAGAAGAAACAATGAGCTAACCTCTACAGTGCTTTCAAAAGAAGTATTTAGAAGTATTCATATCCTTTTAACATTTCTGACCACATTATTATACTAAATAGAGAACATCTGTGAAAAGCAACTTGTAAGTCTTCCCTCAGACTTTGAGGTGTCCACTCTAGTACATGAATATTTCATTTAAAATAGCTCCACTTTGTCTCTACCTATATATTCCGCATTCTTGTCCGGCCTTGGGAAAAGTTTCCACTGTCTCAAGTCTTTTGCAAAAGCCTCTGGTGAAAGGTGGGGAATCCTCAGAAGTTAATATCATCTACCTTTTTAAAAATATTTTAAAGATTTTAAAATGACCTCCTGTGAGCCAATGAATGCAAAAATGATTGTGTTGCTGTGTTTATTCCTTCGCCCAAGGCAGTTAACACCACTGGTCACATTTTAAGCAGACATTTTCACCAGGTAGAGCTATGCTATGGACTATTTGTCAAAATTAACCTACAGTTCAGGTGATACCTGTTCCTGTACTAAAATCACAAAAGGAGTTCAGCTTGGTTCAGTCCTGGGACTGCTTTGATTTTCTCTTTACATAAATAGATTATGTGACATTTTTTCATTATTTTTGCTGCTCTTCTTCACTTGCAGATGCTATAGAGTGCTTAAAGCCTGTTTTAACACAAGTCAGCCTCGTTAACAAACTCTAAAATTGGATTTGAATGTGAATGAAGAGAAAGCAAACTTTTTCTCCCCTTAAGAATGCTTTCAGAAATGTCCCCACTAATTACTTTAGTTGAAGGTAAACAGATTGAGTTTGCTGCTAATTCTAAATACATATGTTTTATATGGGATGAAAAGCTCTCTGTCAAAAGGAACGTAGCAGGTTTGGTGTGAAAACAGTTGGGGATTATTGGGTTTTACTATCGTTAGTGTTTCAGTTTCTCTCCCAAAGTGGTTTCAACAACTCTTTTACTTCTGCTTGGCTGTTTAGATGTTCTATAAATGAATGCTTCAGCCAAATCTCTTCAGCCCTTCAATGCTGTTTATCACTGTGCTTTGAGGTTTGTAACAGACTGCGAACGTCTCATTCATCAACGTGAGTTAAACACGGGAGCTGATTGGCCTCCTCTGAATCAAAGGAAGTATTTTAATTTGATGATTTTAGACTTAGACTCAACTTTTTCTCTAAAGGTTTATCCTTCAGTGAAATTCTGGTTATAGCTTATATAGAGTACAAAGAGTTAAAGCAAAATGCCATTAAAGATAAAAATATGACAGAAAATATAAAAAGAAGGTTTATAGTACTAAAAAAGAATTTAAAAAAAGGAAAAAATTGAAATGTCCCGGAATATGTTTCCCTTAGAAATAAAAAATATCTGCACAGTAGAGAGAAGAGAAAACTACAAAGCAGTTGACTTGGGTTATTGCACTTGCACAGCAGAAATGTACTGAAAATATAGATAAATAAAAATTAAACAGACTACACAGTAGTTGGCATGTGTTATTGCACAGTGAGAAAGAAGAAATATTGCAAATTTTGAGCTACAGATCTCTGCTTGGTCTGACTTTTTTTCTACTTTAATTCTCTCCTACAAAGATCTAAAACTGTCTACTGTTCTCGCTCCAGCAATAGTCTTCTTTTGCATCTTCGAACGCACTTAGAGAAAGGAATAAAAGCATCAGGATTAAGGTTCCCGCAGCTTGGAAACATCATCAGCTTTAAATTAAAGAAATCAGACTCTATATCTTGGACATTATTTTAAACCATTTGTAAGAATGAGAAACATGACTCTATTACTCAGAGCCGGTGTTCTTAAATTGTTTTGATATTTATATTGTCTTTTAAAGTTGGGGATAAATTCAGATGGCTTTCCCACCAGGATTAGTTTTACTTTAATTTCATCCATATTCCCATCAGCTATGATCAGCTTTACTGTCACTACTAAAGAAACGCATATCCACAGCATAATGCTGCCGCCACCATGTTTCAACATGAAAATGGTGAATTTAAGCCAATGCATGTTCATTTCCACACAACAGGTTTTAGTTTGATATGATCACAAGTTTAATTTTGATAATATTGCTTTCTTCCCCTAAAACATTTGCGAAAAGTTTAACAAACTCTTCCTGTTGACATTTAGTGATCATTTCCTCAATTTTTCTTTTTTTATTTATCTTTAATCTGTTAGAAATGTTTCATGGTTACCATGATGCTCCCTATCATGAATAATACCCAAAAAACCTTTGAGGACTCATATTTATAAAGTAATTAAATTTAATATACTGGCTACGATCCTCAGTCATTCAGGTCATAGTCTTTCCAAAAAAGTAAAACTATAAAATAAAATAAAAAGTTTAAATAATGTAAAAATAATAATAATAATAATAATAATAACAATCCACTGGACTGTGTTCCCATCCATCAAGTTTTTACAAGCAACGTCCAGTGGATTTTTTTTTTTTTACTTTTTTTGGAATAAATTTAATATATGTTTACTCCATTTTCTCCTTATCTGACGATTAAATGTATCTTAAAGGATCCTCAGTGTGAATGTAAGCCACACTTTTGAAGTTTTACTTAATTAAAATATAACTTAAAAGGAATGGTACAACTTACCACAAAACATTTTGTTTATGTCGAGTCAGTTTCAACAAAATTTAAAAGAACTTAAGGTAACATATTTAAAAGGTACTTTTAAAATTGTTATGTGATAAAAGTTTAAACTTTTCACAAATGTGTTTGCTTTGATGGATTTTTTAAAATCCCACAACAAATACTGACATTTTTCTATTTACTTTTTTGTAGGCTTGTCATGTCATAATTTGTTTTTGCCAATTCCCAGCGGTTCCTTGCTCCACAGATCATGCAGAGATGATTTGAAATGTCAGTTCATAGCTTTGTAAGTTGGTGCACAAATGACCAAATGCAGATGAAACACAGGTTTACCACTTGAGATCAAAACGCTCTACTTCAGCCAAAAAAAAGACAGAGATCAATACATTAGGCTAAATATGGAAACATGTGAGTTTTGATTC